AGAGTGATCTAACATGTGAGCAGGGGTATGAGAATCACAGAGAAGTCGGATAAGCTTTATTAGAGCCAACTAATGATCATCATAAACAACTGTCCTTAGTGAAAGTACTACAATTAGAGGTAACTAAAGAATGTTTTGGCTTTTGATAGCCTTTCCCCCAGCCTTGACTAAATAGGGGATCGACAGCAGTAAAACTTCTTACTGCTCTATTGGCTGTTGAAATTCATTTTAAGCTACACTATTAAGTCACTGTTTGTGCTAGTTAATACCAGTTGTCTTGGAATGCTGCAACAAACTCAGTTCTGTTTAACTTCAGGCTTGCCAGTGTTGGTTAGTTTTCTTGTTTAATAGGAATAAAATGACAAACTTTAAAAACCAAACAGCTGTGTGTGGCAACTTCATTTCAACACTTTGTTTTCACAGATGAAAAAGAGAGGTTTGACCCTACTCAGTTCCAGGACTGTATTATTCAAGGTTTAACTGAAACTGGCACTGACTTGGAGGCAGTAGCAAAGTTTCTTGATGCTTCTGGTGCAAAACTTGACTATCGCCGCTATGCAGAAACACTTTTTGACATCCTGGTGGCTGGTGGAATGCTGGGTAAGTCCCTTTGATGGAGCTGCTGTCAGTCTTTGTTCAATTGACTCTACAAAAACTCAGTTTTCTTTCAGTGTAAAAACTGCTGAAGAGCCCATTGAGTGTGTAGAACTGGGTTTAAGTTATCTGGTAAATTATCTGACCATCTTAGTGACTAACCGAGCAATCAGGTTACTGTAGAAATACTCTGTATACCCTACTGCGTTTTTGCTTGCGTCAGTTGGCATTCTTTTGAAGTGTAGGCTGTACAAATTTGGCTTAAGGAAAATATATTGGATTTTTTTATTTTTTAACCATGAGTGGGTCTTGACTCTGTAGTCAAGTTCCCTTCTGCTGATGTGTGATGGATGAATGCTGCTTTCAGGAGTGTAGTCTGCGGTCACAAGGCAAATGGAGTTGCCTTGAAAGATTCTGACATGATCCTGTGCTTTGTGCACCCTGCCGTTGTTTTGAAAAGTAATACTGTTTCTAATATTGAAATCTGATATGAATATCATATCAGATTAATCACATCAATGTAATATTGAATCTGTTGTGCTATTACAAATTGTTTGTTGTTGTCAATAGTGAGGTCATGGGCTCTAGCAGATGTCAGAGAGTGAGAAATGAGGGTGGCTGAGTCAGGAGAAAACACAGGGAACTGAAGAAATGAAAGGTGATGATGAAAGATCTTGTAAACTCACATGCACGCTGTGTGCAAAGAGGAGAACAGATGCTCACTGACCAAGTAAGAAGTAGATGAAGCTAAATGAGGTTGAAAGGTAGTAAAAAAAAATTAAAGTACTTCTAGACTTAGATGTTACATTTCTTACTTGACTAAATACTGTTTAGTGAGAAAGGGTTCAGATGGCAGGAACCCATTTAAAATGCAGGCTGTGAAGAGGACCCTTTGTGTTGCCTGCCTAGACTGGAAAAGGTCTATCTCAGATTTTAGCATTTGTTATGCAGTAGTTGAGGGGAGGACTTCAATGAGAAATTTGGCAGTTGCAGAAGATTTTCTAATATAACAGAAATTGAATTCAAGTGACCTAAATGGATAGGAGGAGGAGAGGAAATCCTTGATTCTGGGCCACAGTCAGACTGTGGATGGCAGTTCTGCAGTGGGGATGGCTGGTGTGGGAGGAAGCATCTGTTGCATGTTCAGTTGGTCTTCACACTGATGCCATAGAAAAGTCAGGTGACTTGCTCAAACAAGTGTTGAAAAGCAAGGCTTTCAAAATGTTTTCCCTTCATTAAGTGTGCACACTTATCTCAAAGCTGTGTATTGGAACAGTGTTATGTAGACAGAAGTTATTGTTATGTTCCTTTTGGCGAGAGGCTCTTCAGCTGATGTTAGAAGAGCTGGTAGCATGAGTAAGTAAACTCGTCTGCCACATGGAGGAGCATCACTGCTTGAGATCGCTAATGTACAAATCATTACAGTCTGTGGCTTCACGTTCAACAGTATCAGCCAGTGGATGCTGTTTTATGAAGGGTCCCTTGTAGCAGTGAGGCTGAGGGGGAAGGGAAAAAGGTATTGCTGTGTTAATGGTGATATAAAGGTCCTTTACTCAACTCCCTCTCTGTTACAAGTAGCTAAGGAGACTAGCTTTGATTTTTATTCAGACAAGGTCAAAATCGTAGAATCATAGAATGGTCTGGGTT